CTTGGCCTCGTCTCGGGCTGTGATGATGATCTTTGATGCTCCCAGCTTCGCGAACTTGGCCGCTGCCGCATATCCTAGCCCAGAGGTGGCACCTGTGACTAGGACATTTCGCCCTGCAAAGGACTCGGTGGACTCCTTCGGCAGAGCGCCCCACTTGTTCTTCACCATTCCAACGATCATCTCCATGGTGTTGAATGCTTAGAGAGGAATTGGTATTCTTAGTTTGAAGGTAGATGTTGTAGTAATCTGCAACGACGCAAAGAACCACCGGCAAGGGGAATCAATGTACTTTGTACCTTAGTATGCACAGATGCCGATGAAGGGCCGAGCACGGCTTAATCTTCAAAGTTTAAAGCGCTCACGGATCGTCCGGAACCCAGCAACCCCGTACATAGTCGATTGCGCGTGGATTCCCAGGTCGTATACAGCGTATAGATTGATGACAACAGACATTGGTCCTCTTCGACTCCCCTGACAGCTTATGTCCGCCAAGATGACATGTTCTAAGGGTCCCCAGATGGCATCTCGGAACTTTGCTTCATCCGGAGCATGGGCTGAGAGGTCATATTCATCAAAGAATGTCCGTACTGTTGGGAAGAGACGCCTGCGGTACTTGAAGCGCGAGCCATTGAGTTGTATGATAAATGCAATGCTTCTCACCAGTCTTGTATTATCGCTACCTACTTCTAGCATTCGCTCTCACGTGCGGAAGACGTGCCCGCGAAAGTGACCTTACGTGATGCTCTAGCAAGACAGCGAAAGCCAGACACAAGCTAATAGGTAGGTAACCCTCTGCCTTGATTATAACGCGTCTAATTTTATACTAAAAACGCGGTTTTTTTCGCAGCTTTGCAAAGTATATATAATATTTTTCTTATAATGTATTTACTACATTGTAGGGTAAAAAGGTAGTGTTGTTTAAAATCCTATATCGGGCTTTCGCTGTCCTGCAAGTGGTGATGGTCGGTATTAAAGTGTTCAAAGGGTCGAGCCTCCAGTGCGATGGTCTTGAGAGACGTGCCCACTTGGCGCCCCCCGCATGCTTTCGGCTATCTCGCATGGCAGCGCCACCAATGGTCGGTACCCTAGGATTGGAACTGCTCCAGCCTCTCCATCCCCATCACATCCGACGAACTTTCGAGTAGGCTTTACGCTCGAGCCTGAGATCATTTCGCGACGCAACTTGGGTGTGTCCGTTGGTGACTTGGTACGTCGATAACGGTGCGCAGGTGGGTTCGGCAAACATCCTCCGCTGACCTGCAAGCCAGCATCAACGACTATGTATCACGATGGAAGAGCGCGAATACCAGCTGCCCGCATGTCAGAAGTGCAAACTGCGCAAAGTCAAATGCGACAGACAAGCACCCAAATGCACAAACTGTAGGAAAGGGAATGCCGCCTGCATCATCGTTGATGCTATTACTGGCGAACAGTATGCACGTGACTACATCCGGCAGCTGGAAGAGAAGGAACTCAATCTGCAGCGTAGGCTGAGCGATCTTGACGACACAGGCGTTGCGACACCAGCCTCCACCGAAAGATCGGACGTTGCCAATCGGACACCAACAGGCCCTGAGACGGTAACGAGCTCAGATACCCAGAGCGGGTTTGTTGGCGACGGCAGCGGCCTGGGCTTCTTGCAGAATATCCTTTCTGATACCAAATGGCAACACCATCGCGCACAAATCCTCGAGCAACTTGCGAAGCGCCCTCGTATTGCTAGGCATCGACCTGTCGCTCGAGCACTACCACCACTGGCGCAGGCACGACAATTATTTGACAACTACTTCACTCGATTTCACGTCCACCATACTTTTCTCCTTCGTAGCGAGATGTTAGACGTCTTTAGCAGGGTTTACTCCCTTTCGCCAACACCAGAGAGACCCTCGGCCCAGGACTACTTTCGCCTGTTTATGGTATTCGCGATCAGCGATACGACCAGGCATCGCGAGTGCCAGGCTGATGGCCGAAGTGCCGAGCATCCGTACGGGTATTATCTTGCGGCTGAACATTACCTTGCGGGCATACCGTTGATCAAAGACGCGGAAGCTACCCAGAACTTATTACTGATAGCGAGATTCGGCATGTACCATCACATTGGAACATCGATATGGGAAATATCCCGCTTGTGTATGCGGCAGTGCATTGAATGGGGTCTTCATTCGAAGGCACAGGACGGCTTGAGCCCATTGAAAGAACAACATCAGCGCAGGATATTCTGGGAGTGCTACGTCCACGACCGTTACAGCTCGGGCATATTAGGTCGTCCTTTCGCTCTTCTCGAGTCGGAGATAAGCATGCCACTACCGATTGATGCTGACGACGAAACAATCGTAATGTCTGGTGCTAGTGTACTTGAAGATGTTCCTTCCGTCACGAACATTAGCCCAAGCGAGCTGTCAGTCAACCTGTTTTGCATCAAGCTGCGACGGCTAAGCTCTCGGGTGCACACTGCCTTTTATACTGGTCGAAAGCCCGCCTCATACAATAGCGAAGACAGCACTCGAACCTCCAGGTTTCAATCGATAGGCCACATATACTCATCTTTCATGCAATTCGACAAAGAGCTCCGTGCATTGCGGTCGTCAGTACCTGTCTTCGTAGACCCCAAATGCCTATACGAGCGGTCTGAATGGCATGACTTTATGTACGAGAAGGACCGTCTCCTGCTTGCCCGTGGCGCCATGCACAACCTACCAGCACGGCAGTTCTCTGGAACGTCCATTGTGAGGGAGATACTGAAAGTGTGCTATCTATCAGCGATACGTACAATACAACTGTATGCAGACCTTCGACGCAGAAACGCTATCACTTGGACACGCAGCTACTTTCAGATGATCTTTACCGCAGGTCTTACTGTCATCTATTGCATTATCTTGGGTGCATTGAGCGATAACGACGAGCTCTCCGTCACTAACACTGAAGCTCTGCCAACGCTCAACACTTGCAGCTCATTGTTAAACTACTTCAAAGACAAAATGCCAGACGCAGGTTCTTTTGCCACTGTCTTCAGCGTCATACTGGAAGAGTTCGTCAAAGATCGCTTTACATCTGCATTACAGGTGTCAGAAAATGTCCCCGCAAACCCAATTCAGCCAAGTTGTCAACAGCCTCCAACCCATGATACGCAAATCTACCCCGATCACCATCTCAACGCGGGCTCGCTGCACTCGAGCATGGATACCATCACTGCAGATCATTTACAATCGGATGGTCAGGAACAAGAACGTGTGAACCTGAATCACTTGATACTTGGGGACTTTCCCGACCTTCCAAATCACGAAGATTCACAAGACTTCGGCATGGGTCTAACTAATGACCTTTTGAACCAACTAGAATATGGGCTGGGCGAGTACGCTTGGGGCTCGTTGAACACAAACGTAGATTATTGGAATTCTTTCTCCTCCAACTAAAGAAAGGGAACGGCCAAGAAAAGGTACGGTGACGCTTGAGTGAGCAGCACCCTAGCTAGATCGCTCGGACAGTCTGGATATAGTCATACAATCGATCCACTGCCGCCATTGCAGTCTCCATCTGCGTTTCGGCCGTTGCAGCACCTACGTGCGGAGTGCTCACGACCCGTCCCGTTTCCCACAAACTACCATAGATCTCTTTGGTCGGAGGCTCATGCTCATGGCAGTCTAGACCCGCTCCCCAAATCAGACCTCCCCTCAAGGCGCGTTCGAGATCGGCCTCATGCACAATTCCGCCTCTGGCTGCGTTGATCAAGATCGAAGTGGGCTTCATGATTTTAAGTTGTTCATACGATATGAGACCCCGGGTTTGTGGTATTAGAGGAACGTGTAGTGTTACTACATCCGAAGCTCGAAGGACTTCTTCCAAGGTTTCTGCTCGGGTATGCGCAATGTCTTCCCAAGCATCCTTTGGCAGTAGCGGGTCGTACGCTACGATGCGACACCCTAATCCGCCTTGGAATATTTGCGCAACCTTGCGGCCGATGTTACCCATACCCACGATCCCGATCGTCTTCTTGTTGATGATCATACCCGAGCAGGTCTCTTTCGGCACACTAAACCCGGCACTCTGCAGCGCTGTTATGCGACCAACCTCGCGAGCCACAGACATCGTGAGCGTAAGCACCGTCTCCGCGACAGCCTGCGCATTTACTCCGGGCGTGTTGAAGATCTTGATACCGCGTGCTCTGCAGGCTTCGCCATCAATCTTGTCGATCCCGACGCCTTGTTTGCCGATGGCTTTGAGGTTCTTGCATGCTTCGACGTCTTCTGCGGTAAGGTATGATCCGCGAATGATCAGGTATTCGGCCTTTTCTCTCCATTCCGATTGCTTGGGGTCTGAAGGGAGGATAGCGTTGAACAATGACTGTGCGCGTTTTGTGGCTTCGGGATGTAGTGTATCGAGCAGGTATACAGTCGCCTTGTCTACTCCATTTGACGGTGACGAGGAGGGGGCAACTGTCTCTGATTCGATAAGTGCAGGAGCCATGATGACAACGATCGCGTGAAGCAAGCGACTCGAATAGGTTTGCGAGGGGTGTTTGAAGTCCAAAGTAACGTAGAATTGCGCGTCTTGATGGTATATGGCAGCCACACTCAAGGTGATGTGTACCTAGATGTATGTGCATAGCCGCACTACCCACACACCGGGCATTAGAACTAGACTCTACATCTGGATCTGATGCAGAAGCCAGTGCCGTGTCAGTACACCGGCGAATTGGTCATGCGCGGATCAACAGAGCTCGTCGGACGACCACCGAGAGGGCCGCAGCGCTAGCTTCGGGGGGTGTCCGACTGCCCGAGCGAAACGACCCCTCACCCATGCCTTTTCGGTGACACCCTGCCTTGTCGGATCAGAACACCGCGCAGCATGATTTCTGCACATCGGAACTAGATCTAGCAGCGCGAACGACGTAAGCGACAAGATTGTCTCAATAGGATTTGGGCGTTATCCGGCTGTTGTTGGCTTTGCCCGCTCATACACTGCCGAAGATGAGTCGTCGCACATGGCACGACACCGCGATCTCAGACGCGCTCACTAGGCTCTTGAGACTTTCTGTTGAAGTCGGTCGAGACTGCATTGCGACGAGTAGGTCCCGAAAGCCCTTGAAGGCAGTGTAGTGCATCGAGAGTATAGTGAGACTGCTCAGGTATAGTGAGACTGCTCAGGCATTGGAGCACGCATCTTTGTCGCTCCTGGGTAAACGGCTGCGATGCGGTGAATACACCAATGAAGAATATCAGGTATCCATCGAGAGCTCCTGGCGCTAGCTCCTGTCTGGTGAGCTGATATTCGATGGATGTCGCATACCCGACGAAGTGTTCCTCCATGCGGCCCAACATCATGTCTCGCCCTGGGTCCTGTGCGAAGCTCGGACACTTGAGCAGTTCTACGAGACCACGGGCATGCAATTGGTCTTTGAGCAGACACCTTGCTGATAGTTCTCTCGGCAATGTCTCTCTCCAGTGGCATAGATTGACGAAATGGCAAAGCAGGTCTTCGTCGGTATGTTTCCGAATTGAGCGCAAGAGCTGCGCATGTTGGATCAAATATCGCAGGGCAATCACCTCCGCATTCGTGCCTGCAGGCTGTGGCGAAGCTGGTGGCGACATCATGATATTGCCATCGTTGAGACAAAATGGCCGGTCCATAGCCGTACTGAGGTGAGTGTCCAGGATGTACAACATCCAGAAAGCTCTTCCATTTTGTCTCTTACTCTCGCTATCCGAACTTACATCCGAGATGCGAGATGTGTGCATACCCGCAGAGATGCAGCGTGTCATAGCCAGTCCAAGTAGATGCCAGGATGATCCGCAATATGTTGTGTAGAGTGAACATGTGGCAAGGGCTGTGAGACACTGCACGACTGCCAAGTCGTTGGCCTGACTGAGTATGCGTGGCATGAGTTGCGAGGCCGTTGTTGTTAGCTCACATATCAAGACTACCGCGAAGCTGTGATTTGGCGATAGCAGGAATCCTAGCGCAATGCCTACCCTGACAAGTAGGATCTTCTCTGGCGACTCATCCATAACCATGCCAATGTTTGTATCTCGCTCCGCCGTTACGACGATACTGTACAAGTCTTCGAGCTCGCTGCACGTCATGACGGGAAAGGTTGTGGGAGCTGCTTTAACAAACCGTCTGAACGCTTCAGCAGCCTGAGCACTATCTAGTGTACTGCCCTGGGAGAATAACTCGTTACGAAAGTCTGCCATAGGCCCAGAAAGTGATGTGTTGGTTCCGATGGGGCTGCTCGGGTTGGTGTTGCCTATACTCGCCGCGGCAAGAAATAACGTTGAGAACGAAAGTCCCTGGTTCGAAAATGGCTGTCGGTCTGTCGGCTCTGCCATTGCACTAAGACTCAAGTAATTGGCTTCGTGCATTGTATGATGTAAGTCGTTGCTCGACCCGGGCTCGACTACCGATGAGGCTATCGTCCCAGCATTTGGCCCATGGGGAGTGCCAGACGTGGACAAATTGCTATCCAAAGACTGATTCAGTGACTCTTGATCGTTCGTGACCTTGTGCTGCATATCATAATGCCGGTTGCTCCTGGCTTCCAGAGCGGCAATTCTCGACTTCAAAGACTCAATGTATGAGACGGAAGACGGATCCGAAGCGTCGATTACGGAGCCAAGGCGACGCTGCACACATTGCGATGCGGCGACGCGACATTGCTGACACGTTGGCGTATCTCGAGAGCACTGGGTACTAAGTTAGTCTTTTGATGGTGTGAAGAAATTGCAGTGATCCTGTGCGCGGATTCGATCGCCAATTATGGGGGGAAACAGGTATCGAGCAGACTTGACGTGCTGCCATTTATGCGCGAAGAAGGAGCGACCACCAACCTTCTGTTTCCGCTTCCAGCATCTTTCGCAGGCTTGCGATTGCAGGTTTATCATGTTGGTGAATGATGGTAGAGTTAGTCTCTGGGTTCAAAGATGGTGGTTTCGAAGTCGTGAAGGAACCGAGGTACCGGTTACCAAATCGGAAGCTAGCGCGTCTCGGGTCTCACAGCCAGGACTATTTTACGAGCGAGCGCTTTACATCTAATTATCGCGAATTCGATACTTGTCATCACGGTTGAGTACATCCAGATTGGATATGTGTTTCGACATTCTGTTATAGAATACAAGATGTCGACATCTATGAGCTTGCTAATACATTCCCATGCCCGTTGACTTGATCGTTCATCTTCAATTCTTCCACTGTCACACTAGCCTTCTCTTTTAATGCATCGATAATTCCGTTGGTCGACGCGATAGAGGCTCCGTTCCTCTCAGGCTGGGTGGGCTCAGTAGAACTCTTGACCCTTGCATTTAGTTGTGCCATCTCGCCTGCTCGCTTCGTAGCTCCGCCGAGTAGCAGAGGTCCATCTGTCGCCGCCATAACCCATCGCGCGCCCATCTTGCAGAACTTCTCCACAAGGTCTAATCTTGAGTGCAGGCCTCCTACGCCGACCCATTTGCCGTGCTTCTTGCAGGCGTCAATCGTCTTCTCATATACTTCGAGTAGCTGCGGGCTCTCGTATTGTCCTGGAATACCCAGCTCGGCGCACATGTCATTGGTGCCGATCAGTAGGCTGTCAACGCCTTCAATGGCGGCTAGCTCTTCAACACATTCGACTGCTTCAAGCGTCTCTACCATGGGAATGACGAGGGTTTCGCGATTGCACACAGGACTCATTGCCTTGGCGGCGAGGTGTCGGTACTGGAATTGTGGCATATTGTTCGTCGAGGAGCGATGCCCAAGAGGCTGGAATTTGGCGGCGGCTACCACATCTTTGGCATCTTGTACAGAGCGGATGTGCGGGACTATAACGCCCATGGCACCTCCGTCAAGTACCCGAGAGACGAAGAAGGGGTCTTTGGATGGAACGCGGACTATGGGTGAAATGCCGGCGTAAAGAGCTGCAATACATATCTGACCTATTCTACGTTAGCTCGGAGGTTTATGGAGAGGGGCGGGGCGCTGAGGAGAGAACGTACTGGTCGTGTCCAAGTCAAACGTTGAGTGCTCCATGTCGATGAGAATACCATCAAATCCCGCGGTCTTCGCCATCATCGGAAGCTCAACGCTGCGAACAAGCTTCACGGACAGCGTGTAGGCTACCTCATCGCGGAGCATCTTCTCCCGGATTGAGTTGTGAAGAGTGAGTCCCGCCATGTTTGCGGGTGTTATCGAGCTGTGAGCTTGGGTGGATGATTCAACAAGAGGAGATTGGATAGACTTTGAGCTATACGAGAGTTCTTGTTGTAGCAATACCGACTGTCATATGTACGTGAACGCAACCTCCTGTAGAATGAGCTTACCCAGCATAGTAGTGTACGCCAGCGGCCGCAGCCGGTCACCGTGATGCCTTCGGAGCATGACCGAAGCGCCGAGCATCAGCGCACATAGCGCCCGGCCGCGAATGGCACGTCAGCGTTGTCGATGTTGACGATGGATAATGAGGGGGGTGGCGAGGCGGACGTGTGTCAGCCGCGTGCCGTGCCTGAGTCATGCAGGCCCCGGGGGTCCATCAAGCGCTCGGTCGCCCCTGCCAGCTGCATCAGCGTTCACGCGTTTCCTCTTGCCCCGCTTCCACAAAACGCTACGGGCGACCACCGACGCATAGCGCAATCCTCGGATGGCCACCGAGATGTCACGCACATCGGGCGACCACCGAAGTCGTTGACTCCACAGACATCGCCCAGGCGCGCGGAGCATAGCGCGTCTGGGGTCCGGGGAAGGCGTGGACGGCACAAACCATCCCCGCACGCTGGACGTCGTTGAAGCCAAACAGGATGCTATAGCGAGACCATGAAGGACGGCAGTGCGCATTAGCACATGCTTACTACATCGACACTTGGAAGAAGATAACCCATGTAGCCAGGTATAAAGAAGCCGCTGCCTTCGAAGAGCCGTTGCGCTACACGGCACTGCTCGGACCTTTCCTCCTTCGAATCCGCCATCCATCTATTCTCCATTCCTGCGACCGCCTCCATGACTACGGACGATACATCTCTGAAGGGGAGTTGTGAAGTCATCAAGGTGGAGGATGCTGCACTTTCGGAAGCCGAGACCTTTCTTCAACACTACCCGCTTCTGCGAGGAAAGACCAAGGATGAGCTTGACAGGCTTAACAAGGCTGTTCTGAAGAAGCTCGACTGGAAGTTTCTGCTTATCATCACTTTGATGCTCTTGATGAAGTAAGGCAGCTTTCAAGCTACTGTAGCGCAGAAGCACATAGACTAACGTTCGACAGCTACCTCGACCGCATCAACGTCTCAAATGCACGTCTTGCTGGTATGCAGCATGATATCCACATGACGGATGTGGAGTGGTCTGCTGGCATCTCGCTCTTCTACGTGGGATACATTATCTCACAGGTGCCAGCCAACATCATCATGTCCAAGCAGAAGCCTCGTATCTGGATGCCATGCATTATGCTCGCGTGGTCCTCCGTCACGATATGCATGCCTGCTTGCACCCGACCCTGGCACTTTATGCTTTGTCGTTTCCTCGTGGGGTTCACCGAAGGCCCGTTCCTCCCGGTCGTGGCGCTCATGACGTCAAGCTGGTATACAAAGCAAGAGAGCCCTTTGCGCATGGCTATCTGGCACGCGGGAAACATCGTATCAAACGTCTTCTCTGGTCTCCTTGCAGCAGGCATCTTGACCAACATGGACAACATCGCGGGTTTGCACGCGTGGCAGTGGTTCCTCTTGCTCGAGGGTATCGTGTCTATCATGGTTGCCATCCCTGGGTTCTGGCTTCTACCAAACTTCCCTAACAACACTGGAACGTACTACTTCACTCCAGAAGAGCAGCAGATGGCGCAATACCGACAATCTGTATCTTCCGGATGCGTGACGGAGGATGACGAAGGCGACTACATCGGCGGCCTAATGCAGGCGATTCGTGACCCGTTCACGTGGCTGTTTGCTGGCATCCACTTCTCCCTGATTATCGCCCAGTCGTTCAAGGACTTTTTCCCGTCCATCATGGACACCCTCGGCTTCGGAGAGGTCGAGACTTACCTTGTACAAGCTCCACCATACGTCATCGCCTACATTGTGACGCTCGTCGTCTCGTGGTCGTCTGGTCGCATGCTCGAGCATGGCTATCACATCATCGGCGCTATTTCGACTACCCTGATTGGCGCAATCATTATGATCAGCACTCTCAACACAGGTGCACGGTATTTTTCCATGATATTGCTCTGCTGTGGCCCGTTCGTAGGCTTGAATATCCAGCTATCATGGGAGACTACCGTTGTGCCGCGACCACGAACGAAAAGGGCGGCGCTCATTGCTATCGCAAACTGCGTGTCAAGTGTAAGTCATTGGTTCACGCCGTATTTCTTCTTAAGGAATCAAGAGCCGAGGTACGAGACTGGAGGCGGCTGCATTATCGCCGGATGTGGCTTGACTATAGTGCTATGTTTGGTGACGAAGTGGTGGTGTAGTAAGAAGAACAAGGCTTTGGTCGCAGAGGAGGAGCGCACGGGAGTTGTGAACAGCTGGAGGTTCGCGAAGTAGACGCACATTCTATAGTTTGCTGTAGAACGCTAGCTAGCTAAATAAAAAATGCATCGCTTCCGCTTAATATTTTACCTTACACTTTGTCT